GGACGGAGAGAACTTTACGGAGGAGGACTTTCTAAAGAGAATTAGCTCATATACACTTTACACATGGAGAAAACCACGAAAACAACCATGCAATCAGCCCGTTCTCCGGGATTCGAACCACGGACTGAACTAAAAGCGTTCAGCGACTTTACCATTTTGCCGCAAGTGGACTGCTCCCTTGCCAACATGCTTGGCCAACAAAAGTTTGGACATTGGAGGGGAAAAACCTTTTAACGGATAAGAGTCGTTAAAAGATCGTTTTATATCTTTTTGAAAGGAATATTTCTTTAGACAATAATAATCTTTTATCAAAAGTATACAGATCTCATTTAGAATAGGGCTATATTCAAACTTTTAATGTAGGCATTTTGCACTTTCAAATGCAGGTTACGTTGCAGCTAATTTCTTTAAATGTAGGAAAAGAATTATATAGACGTGAAACAGTATGTGTTGAATTTTCCAGAACTTCTAAAAAAAATCCACTTGAAAAAATTCTGTAGTTATTTGTCTAAGTCAAAGATACTCTTACTTTTCGGTATATCATGAAGTATTTATGAACAATAAAGTACCATGGTATACAATGGGACTGACATTTGCTCTCCCCCCAAAAATTAGCAGTCTTTTCGAGACAAAAAAGGAATTAAGTAGGTAAAATTTATTGCGAAGTAAGATTTATTGAGGCAAATAGATCTATTCGTGTAAAGCGATTCTTTCGGCAATTGGTTGGAAACATTACGGTAAGTCAGCCTTACACGCAGCTATAGAAGAAGGAAAAAAATATCTCGTTATTACATCAACTGGGCGTTGGGCAAACCAGTGCATTTAGAGACAAGAAGTTTGTAATTAAGTTTAACATATTTAGTTATACTAAGGATAATTACGTGTAATATGCATTCAAGCGAATTTTTAATGAAATTTAACATCGCTTCAATGATAAGAGTTTCAGTGTACTGGTCGGTTAAATGTTTAAACCCACAGTGTTTCCTATTTGTAAGAAACACTGAAAATTTTGACATAGAGGCAGACAATATACACTAAAAAAATTATTTGTTAAATTGTGCTCTCAGACGATTATTTGTGGCAATAATTGCAATTTACGTTTCGTAGAATGAATTTTGAAAAAAGGAAAGGAGCCGACGCTGCAGCATTATCGCGCTATGATTTTCTATGATTTTTAAAGTAGGAAATCGATTTTTACTTTCTTGTACGAAGTAAAAAGGAAGAATTGTAATCGCGATCCATTTTGACCGCTATCAAATGCAATTTAACGATGTTTTTGCGTGACATCTCTACGTAAGGACAGAATAAAAGACTCTTTTCCTCCAAAAAAAATTATAAAACTGCTTTAAGGTATGTGCCTACCCTAAATTCGTCGTTTTGGTGAAAAGTTTCGAAAATTTTTTTATTTATTCATTTTATAGGCCATATATTTAGGTTTCCAAAAACGCTTTATTTCTGTTTTTACAATAACTAGAAGAAAAGTTATAGTATACATAATAAACCGGAAGTGAATTTTAGGACGCCGGAAGTTGGCATTTAAATGGTCGTAAAAAATATAAACAATAAGTTTAAACAACTATTTTCTAATTATTAAACAATATAAAAGCTGTAAAAGCAGCAAATCTTTCACTTTGTGACACTTTGATGATGAAATGCCTACATATAACAGAACAATAATGAGTGTTTTAATAACCTCAAAATAGTCCTCAAAAGGACTATTTTACCTAAAGAAACTTTTGTCCGACTGAAAACATTGCTTTTAGGTGCACATATTGCTGTATTATTATTTAATTCAAGATATTTAGGACTTTTACCTATTTTCAGGTGTATAGAAATAGAAATTAATCCCATTATGCTTAAAAGCTACATGGGAATAGACAAACAGCGAATTCAGAAACCGAAACGCCAATCTCTGCTAGAAACAAAGTTATCCAGAAAAATGCTAAAATTAGTTAAAGTCAAAATTAGTTAAGAATGAAGTAAAAGAGGGCCTAAAATACAAATACGGCGAGTGTTAAAGGTCTAAAGTGGCTAAAATTTTTTTTGTGCTGTATTAAAATCTTTAAATGCATTTTCTGAGAAATTGTGTTTTTCGTTGCCTATATTTAAAAAACTAATGAAACGTTTTATAAAATCCCATTTAAATTCATAGTTTTATATCCCATCTTACTGAAAAGCATGTGTGTTTAATTAAAATTTTATGTATTTAAAAAAAAGTGCTTTGTATGTAGGTACATACCTTAAAATGAATTCTGAAGAGAATGTTTCTGTACGTACGAACGTATGTATCTCGCATAACTCGAAAACGAGTAGCCTTAGAATGTTGAAATTTTGTATATAGGACTGCTATAACATGTAGATGTGCACCTCGTATTTTGGTTGCAATCGGCTGCACCAAACTTATATTTATATAGATGTATCCACTCTGTTACCCGGCTCAGTGATCTAAGTTTTTTACTCTTATATGTTTGTAAATTGGGCATTTTTTGCTTTAAAAATGATTGAATTATGTTGTTTTTATCTTCCGGTTAAGGTTTTTATGCCTTTAGGAAATCTGCAAGCAATATTTGTAGAATTATCAACACTTTAAAAGCTGTTTAACTACGGTTAAGCCTAATTTTTAAATAACATGGCGGACATGTTTGTTTACATTTGAAACAGCAGAATAGTAGATTTGTTGCCAATCTAGAGAAACTAAGCTTCGCAACAACAAAGATAACGTCTTCATTTGTTATCGAATTAAATCATACTTAATCCTTTCTGGAATTTTTTCGAGGAAATACGTGTTTAAGATTTACTTCGTAATTTTTAATATAGATATTTTGAGTTTTTATATATTTTTGCCTTGTCTCTAAGTGAGAACAGAATTAATTGAATGAGAAATACTGAATCATCTGTGAAAAATTGTTTCTTTTTTGTTTTGTTTGCTTAATTTCTTTTATACATCGTTCTAGATTTATTACAGTATTTGAATAGAACATGTGACAATGATTAGAATAATTCTTCAAATGATATAAATTTTGTGCATTCTGAGTTATAATATGAACGATAATTTAATATTCCGTTCAAGGAAGTCATGTGGTGTACACATCAGGTTTTTTAAGTAGGGATTGGATTTTAAAGTAGGGATAAATTTTTACTTATTACATGTAAATGAAGCTCTATCTCATGGCGTGGTTAGATGCTTTACAAAGTACCATAGCGGTCGAAATCCTCTCCTGTATGAAGAACATACAAAAAATCGTTGTTAGCTATAGTCTCAGAAAGACATTAACCAATGATAAACTCTGCACCTATCAAATGGTATATAAGTAACTTAAGACTGGATCCGCAGTACATCCGCATAAAATTGTTCATGAAGACCTATACGTAGTTTGTCATTGGGTCTCCCATTAATTTACAGAATACCAAAAACTGGGGTGCATCAGAATCAGTAAAGAAACCCTAAAATTACTTAATGATGGTGGACAGAATATTAGTTCTAAAATTATAAATTGGATACCTAACGTTTTACATTCCAACACGCCAAGAAAGTAAAGTTGACGATAAACCCTATCCAAAAACGGTGAAAAGACGAGGAATGAAAAAAGTAATGAATTTTAGCTATTTTTAAATCTAAAACAAAATATATGTAGCCACCGTTTATATTTCGAAGATGAGGCTGATAAAGTTATAAAAGCATATTTTTCACAGATTACAAAAAATTGATAGTTTGAAGCATTTAATTCTTTAAACGTTCGCCTACAAAAGGGCACTGATGTTGAAGAAAATCCATTTGAACATATTTGGTAAACTTGCACCGTTCAATTATATCTAAAAAATTTTAAAGTGACGCTCGTATACTCTGCGTACCATTGAAAGTTACTACTAAGAAGTGGATAGATTATATTTAAATTTTGAATAAATAAATACTCAGGATTTCACATTACATGTCATACAAAATCTCTGATTTTGAAATAAGAGAGATTTCTTCATAGAGTGGTCTAAATATGACTGGATCATTACGCGTGATGTTCTGAATGAAAGGGGTTATTATCTGCTACGTGCTTTGCCCATTACTAAAATTACTTCGGAAGTTGAACGGGAGATTGAAATTGAGAATTCCCTAGACACAGGCTATCATTCTTGTAACGCATTTCTTTCATTCCGATTCAAACTGGGAATGGATTCAGTACCTACACGTAAAGTTGTTTTTCAAAATTGAGCGAACACTTTGCACATTACTTCTGAATAATCGTAAACCGCTACACGTGCATATTTCTATCTTATTTTTATAATAATAGTTATACACATTAAATATTAAAATATTAACTGTTTAAAAGAAGTTTTGTATATTAACTGACTTATGATGCATACATTTTTCTATGATTAGGGTCGGCCGAGAATTAGATTAGGGTCGGATGGAAATCATTTCTGTTACTACGAGTTTTTTCTCTTATTTTGTTTATATCAATGACGTGAAAATTCTCTGCATCAGTTGTCACATACATAGCTACATAATATTTACAATATAGACAATATTTACTATTACATAATATACTTACATTACATTTGATAATTATTGTCACCGTTTCAAAAGGTTTGTAGCAAAAAATTACGAAATGTTGTTATTTTTACAAAAGTATCGATGTGAAAAATGTTGCGAGAAAGAAAAGAAAATTATTAGAGATGAAAAAATTATTACGTTACAGTATAATTTTCCTAAACTCTGGTTCAAGGCATTTTATACATTATTAAACTGATTTTATTTTTTTAATACATTTTGTTTTTCAAACTCTTTCCGTAGCAGAAATTTTAAATTTCTCATAAATATCCATAATAATGAGCAGAGATTATACCTGATGACCTATTGGTAATTTATCTCTGCTTATTTACTTTTACTTTAGATACCTACTTTACAAAATACCTACTCTGCAATCGATTTCAGTGACAAGCAGGTGTCGAAAGTTTAAAGAAAGTGCTTGTGATACTATTATTTGTGAAAAAATAAATTCATTTACCAGTGGGTGTAGTACCAGAAGTGACTCCCATCCTTCGAGGTAGCTCAAGAGCCCACTGCTCAGCAGTTTTCCTACGAAATTGTTCCCACTCTCGTAAGGGATCCACTAAGCGGGGATCGAAGAAAGGTGACCGTTGTCCAAAAGCAGAAGCAAAGGCTCGCAGATGATGATGATGCTGCCCTGCAAAATATAGAAAATTTATGACGAAAGGTTATTTATTAATTAATTAATTTTTACAGAAGGCTATTTGTCTTTTTCTAGGGCTGAAATATGATTTGCAATTTAGGCTGAATTTGACATCAGGTATATTAAATAAAATGGCCACTGCTGTTTGCTTAGCATTTGCAATCCGAACCTCTTAAAATTATTAATGCGAAGATATCTTTGATTCAGGATTTTTAGTGCAAATGCAGAATGTATTCATTTTAAATATTTTCGTTTTCTGTAATGCAGCTGTTTGATGAAGATGGTTGACTAGTGTCCGGAGACTTACATTCATTGAACAGTAATTTTTTTCTGAGTTGAAGCCGTCTGGTCGTTATTATATATACATAAAAAAAGTTGGTCGTTATACCTATGGATTTGAATTCGTGTCAGGCGTGGACGTTTATGGCTGCACCGCAGCATCTTTGAGGAATATAAGTATATTTAAGGCCTGTCGATCCAGAAGTTCTTTTAAGAGACTGTGGTAAGGAAAGAAAAATTAAAAGATCTTCAGATTCCATCTCCCATTGATATTTTTCATCAAAAGTAAGATGGGATTTAGACAAAGAGTCGAGACGTTTTCTTTATTGAATAATCCAATCCATTCAGAATTAGATTTAAAGGTATCTCCCCGTTTTCATTTGCTTTACAAAAGATTTAAATTTGTACCTTTTCCGATAAACCAAAGAAATCGGAATACAATTTTCGCTTTTGCGAAGAAATGTAAAAATCGAAAATATGGATTTTGCCTTTACTTTATACAGCTACTGTAGAAAAACATGACGAATTATGATATAGAATACGGATTTAAGGTAGTATTTGCAATATGCTTTGATTGCACAGTTTCGTTAACAGTGCTATGAAAATAGCCTACCAATCTTAGCAGCTAAGTGTGTTTTACCTTACATCGAACTTTTCATATCATTCAAAGCATAAATAATTTCATCTTTCGCTGCTGGGGCAAGCAAGAAGATCTGATAAATGTAAATAAAGCATGTGAAATTCATGGTGCGCTGGCGGCATGTGTCCCTGACTCATTTTTTGCGTCCCACCCCATGAAAATAACGAAAAATATATATTATATTAAAAAAAAACTGGAATTCTACCAAAATTGATGCGTATATGTAACCTTATAAGGTATTTCTCCCGCATTCCTAGCGTACCTTCGTGGTGTAGTGGTTCTGCATGCTGGGCCGGTATTCCAGAGGTCTGTGGTTCGATTCCCGGGGAAGGCTGTTTAATTTTTTATCTCTTCGGTTTTTTCCAATTAACCTAATGTCTCTACAACCTCGGGAGTTAAAAAGGAGTCTTTGTAAAAGGAGACGGTCTCTTTATTAACAATATTTTCTCAACGTTAGTTGAGAAAGTGCCAGCCCATTTACAGACAGAATTAGCAGAAATTCAAAGCAAAGATTCAAAGCAACTCTAAAGCAAAGATTCGGTGAAGTGGGAAACATTGTTCAAAATAAAACATTTTTATTTCCAGAGCCGCGAGACTGTTGCCTTTCGGAAAAATGCAAGATTTAATTAATAAATTTAATTTGCAAGATTTACCTTTCAGTTTTAATTAACAAACTCGGCTGTATGAAAGGAAGGTGTTGACGACCGGAAATAAAATGCTTTTATCTTCAACGCACCAGCATGTTGCCATTCAGAAAAGCCTAAGATACTTTGAAATTTAATCTCAAAGGTTACTAAGTAATACACTAAAAGCAATAAACACAGTTTTTAAGAATAATGATTTCCTTCTCCTTAATGTGATTGATTTAAATAAAGCTGAATTAAAATCACGAGATGTCTAACTAGAAGTATTCAACATTTTTATGAAATTACTTTAACTGGAATTATTGAAATTATTATATACATTTTTATGATAACTATTTCAGATGGCTAGCGGCTAGTTTTTAAGGAAATAAACGTCCAGTGCTCGAAGCTAGACGAACGAGTTCACCACGTGCTCGGTTTTTGTAGTTTTTTCCATATGTAATGTGAATACGAAACAGTTTCCCTCAGAAATTCCTCCATGTAGACATTTCTCTTCTTAGGCACATAGCCTTCATGCTTTGCCGTAGTCATGTAGCCAGAACATGCTATACACTGCGAAATTTTCGCGCTTGCTATAAATTTTGCGCTAACGGAGGAATTTAATCTCTTATTTTAATACACGCCCTACACTTTTATGCTAACAGCATTTTACAGCATGGGTAAGGATAAACAAATTATCAGACTTATATTCAGGTTCTTATTTAATAATAATTCCAATTTTCATTTATTAGCCCAAAGGCGTTAGCCTAGAGGGATTAGCCTAGATTTTAAATTACAGGCGTTAGCCCGTTAATTTCAAAACGACATTTTGCGTCGTTTTATTTTTCAAACTGTTGCCACCAAATATTATAGTCATGTATTATACTTAAAGAAACTAAATAATGAAGAATCTGCATGAATGCATGAATGTTCCTCGCTTTGTGAAGAAACAACGGTACCTAGAGCCATCAAATTTCGAATAAGGTAGTCCTCCAACCGAACATGGACACTTGTAAGCCTGAATTTTGAATTTCGAATTTGTTTTATTATCTATTTCAAATTTTGTAAAGCTTTAACGAATTTTTGATTAACGAACTCAACGATTTCAAAGCAAGCAATGGCAACGCTGTACGGGAAAGAAAACATTTTTATCTCTAGAGCGCGAGACTGTCTGTTGGAAATTCTAAAGACGTTCTGTTTTGCTGTTTTTAAATATTTTGTGCTATTGCTGTTGAATTGAATTTTATCTGTGTTTAAGTGTGAAGAACATGATATTTAAAAAATAAAACTAACATACAAAACGTAAACAAATATAACAAAACAAATAAAAAAATCGTAAACAATATAACAAAACCAATAAACAAATATAACAAAAATTAAAAAATAAATAAATAAATAAAAGAGAGAGAGAGAAGAAGAAAGAAAATCTGAAAGGTTTCAGATAGATAAGTCTTAACACATTTTTATTTGGAATTTGCTACAGCATCTTTAAATTACGTTGCTGACTCAGTGAAAGGTTTCAGATCTTAAATTATGTCCAAAGGGGGAGTGTTTTAACATTTTGTGTGTTACCTTTATTTATTAAATATCATGTTCTTCGCACTTAAACCATAAAATTCAGTTCAAGAGCAATGTCGCAAAATAATTTTAAATTGAGCAAAACTTTAGAATTTCTGATACACAGTTTGACGCGCTGGAGATAAAAATGTTTTTTCTGTACAACGTTGTCATTACTCGCTTTGAAATCCTTGAGTTTGTTAATCAGAAATTCGTTAAAGTTTTACAAAATATGAAATCGATAATAAAATAAATTCCAAATTTCAAATTTGGGCTTCCAGATGTCCATACATTGCATTATTTGTTTAATTCAATACGCAAAGCATACGAGATATACCTGTTTAAGGAGAGGGATACCTTCGTGGAGGACTCTCTAGCGAAAATAGACATCGGGGAGAAACCACGATATCATTAAGAACCATTCCTCGGGATACGATATTAGATTAATCCCTCTATAAAGGCTTTATTTACCTTGTCTTTTAATTCCTTCGAGGACATGTAAAATTTTAAACTAATTTCCTGAAAGCAGTTATTAGTTTCAACCCTTTATTTACGTCTTATAAACATTTAAACGTTGCATAAATATAAAATAATTATAACAAGCTGAAAATTATATAAAATGCTTGACAATGGCTTTTGTGTTTCATGTTAAATGTTTAATCATTAAAAGCAAGTTAAGCTTTTCTGAAATCTTGGCGTCCCTCTTAGTCGTTCATCTGAAGTGTCATTTGCCTCATCCTTGCCCCAATTATGTCTTGCTAGTTCGATAAATCATGCAATTTATGGTATGTAAAGAAATGTACTTTAATCAGGCTACAATATATGACTGCATGATACAAATAAAATTATAAATCAAAACCAAAATTAAAAAGTGTTTTCTCATTTAAAAATAAGATATATATCTAGCCTTAAGATAAAGAACACACAGATCAAAACGTTGTTTTCTTGGAAACAATGAAACAATTAATATCCACTATTATCTAGAAATATTAAGAAAATTAAATTTTAAATCAAACATTTTCGGAACGATAATTTTAAGATTTGAACCAATCGATAATTTTCAATTCTGGGTACAATAATAATAATAAATCAATAAATTCTCCATCAGATTAAATGCAAATTAAATCAAATGTAAAAACTGAAGTTCTGAATATAACTGTCTGTTGGTCTTCCTTCATCTACACCTATTATTTCTTTTAGAAATATATAATAACGTTAAATAAGAAGCAAATTTTTAAGTCTTTATAACACATTTTTATTTGGAATTTGCTACAACATCTTTAAATTACGTTGCTGACTCAGTGCGACAAAAAAGATTTGAAAAAAGCAGTGTTTGGAAAGGCTAGCCAAAAGGCAAGAGAATAAGTTAAATCAAGTCTTCCGACAGCCGCGAATTAGGAGGTTTAGATTTAATAGCGGAACAAGGTACTAAATTAGCCACCCATAATTGCTACTCCACAGGTATTCTTTTCGAGCCACCAATGTTGCAATCAATTTTATTTCAGAGTCTGCCGAAGTTCTTTTTTCAGTCCTGTCAGTTGCTAAAAGCTTTCGTAAACACTAGATTCATCATTGAAATTTGTGTTTACTTTTCAGTAATTTCAAGTGACAAAATTGGGGAATTCTTTCTCTGATTTCCTTACATAATTTAAATTTAGCCTAAGTGTACGGAATTAGGGAAAGTTCTTTTTCACTGTACTGTAAATCAAAGCATCGCCGAAGCAGAAACTATACAGTAGCACGACCAGTAAGAATTTACAATTCTTCTTTAGGAAAAATGAAAAAGAAAGAAAGGAATAAAAAAGTCGACATCAAAGGCAAAATCTTATAATAAATTTTAAATTCGCTTCTGAGTTAAATTTTTAATGTATTTTGCTTAGATTATGAACGCCAATTTTTTTTGAGACTATTGACTGATTGAAATTTCATTTGTAATATTTACAGTTTTTACTTACTCCTAGAATTCTGTAAAAATTCAGTCACATTTGAGAAAGCATTATATATATATATATATTTTTTTTTTTTTTTTTTTTTCCATAGCGGAGAAGCTATTAACGCTTTTCGATCCCGATCGAAGAGAATTCTGAACTGCATTACTGTACGCTACTGCCATCTATCGAAGAAAGTTTTAACAAAATGCTATTCCTTTAAAATCAAACAATTTTACTTTTGCAGTTATCGTAAATCATCTGTTTTGTTTTGAATTTCAGAATTCCATAGATACAAACTGCCATAAAAGCTGGCATTTATTTGCTTTATTTGTGGAAGTTTATTTCGAAATAAATTTCTTCGCCGAAGGAACAATACAGCGAAATAAATTCCAGGCTGTGTGAAGAATTCCTACCATTATCGATTCTGCTGTTGGACATGTGCCTGCGTTTGCTATCGAGTCTTGATTATATTATTTCTGTTACTTTATGTATTCTAATCACTTATTGCCGATCAATGATGCTTAACAGCAACGTTACCTCAAGTTTAAATATTGCTGCATCACATTTACAGTACCAAAATGATCAGAATACTAAGACAATTCTCTTTAATAGTATTGACTCTCGGTTCGACGTATTCGTCGATTTGATGCCGGCGCTCAGTGAAGGAAGCGCCGGGTATTTTGACTTAGTGAGCGATGTACCTTTCGCTGTGAATGGATCTTTGATCAACATCACAATGCATGACTCGACGCCTGCGATATTCTCCGAATCTCTATCTATATGCATTCGTCGGAAGCGCTCACCAATCGAAAACAAAAGTGATCATGATAATGATTCCAAGACCAGAGTTACCACTTGCAAAAGATATTCTAGTGTTTCTGGAATTCGCATGCATGGTGAAAGAATTTACAATCTAGATGATGGTATTATCCAAATTCCTTCCAATACTCTATTGACTATGCTTTTATTTGGAACAGATTTCTCTGTAAATACACAGATTGCAGTTACTACAGCTAGTGCAGAAAGAGGACAAAGGTGTGATACTTTACCTATAATTAAAATTATTAACTTGTCAGAAGACAACGTCTTGTCCGAACGTACAATAAAAGTGGAGGTATTATTTCCCACTTCTCTGGACAATTCAAAATATTATATTTGCGTTAGAGAGTCTGGGAACATTTCGAGACCTTGGATTCACCAAGGACATGATTCCTGGCTTTCTTTCAGAGCTGTGGGTCGTATTTTACCTGTTGGACTACAGTCTTTCATTATATTCATTCTCCTCATCCTTTCAGGCTTATTCAGTGGTTTGAATTTGGGATTAATGGCTCTCGAATGCACTGAGCTTCTAGTGCTCGAAAAATGCGGGACTGAAAAGGAAAAGAAGCATGCCAGAAAAATATATCCTATTCGAAAAAAGAGTAACTATTTATTATGTTCACTTTTGTTAGGAAATGTTCTAGTAAATAACACATTAACCATTCTTTTAGACGATTTAACATCTGGAATGATTGCGATTGTTCTATCAACATTTGGCATTGTGGTTTTCGGTGAAATTATTCCTCAGGCAATATGCTCCCGCCATGGGCTAGCAGTAGGAGCAAGAACACTTTGGGTGACGAAGTTTTTTATGCTGATTACTTTCCCTTTGTCTTATCCAATTAGTAAAATTCTCGATCTGGTATTGGGTGAAGAAATTCGAAATGTGTATAACAGAAAAAGACTTATGGAGTTCATCCGACTAACTAAAGATTACAATGATTTACAAAATGAAGAGGTTAATATTATATCAGGTGCATTAGAGTTAACTAAAAAGACTGTATCAGACGTAATGACGAAAATTAATGACGTGTTTATGGTACCTATTTCTACGATATTGAATTTTGAGACTGTTTCTGAAATCATAAAACGAGGGTATACAAGAATACCGGTGTTTGATGGAGACCATAATAATATCGTTGCTCTTCTTAATATCAAGGACTTGGCTTTTGTTGATCCAGATACCAACACCCCATTGAAGACACTATGCGAATTTTATAATCATCCCGTAAATTTCGTTTTTGAAGATACAACTTTAGATGTTATGCTCAATGAGTTCAAGAAAGGACGTTCTCACTTAGCCTTTGTTCGACGGGTCAACAGCGATGAAGAAGTTGATCCATTCTATGAACTTCTGGGAATAGTGACATTAGAGGATGTTATAGAAGAAATTATTCAGTGTGAAATCATAGATGAAACTGACGTGCTTACTGATAATAGAAGAAAGCATGTTCGCAAAGAATCACAGATAAGACAAGATTTTTCAGATTTTGTGAGACTGGGAGCAGGCGACAAAAGAACTGTTAGCATATCCCCTCAGCTTGCGTTGGCCGCGTACCAGTATTTGTCCACATCAGTAGAACCTTTTAAAAAGGAATTCCTTTCTGAATCTGTGCTTAAGAAACTCATGGCACAAGATGTATATCTGAAATCAAAACCTGGAAAAGAAGACTATGTCCCTTCGTCAAACATTCTTTATCAGTCTGGCAAAGCATCAGATTACTTCATTCTTATCCTGGAAGGGCGTTGTCTTGTCACAGTAGGAAGAGAGAATTTGACTTTTGAGACTGGCCCTTTCACTTCCTTCGGATTACCCGCCATAACAAACATATGTGAATCTGCATCTCTCAGTAGTCCCAGCAACTCTGAAATTCCTCCTTTTAAGGGTTTTATACCAGATTATACAGTGGTAGCTGTTGGTGAAACTGTTTACATGAAAATCCATTATGCGGTCTATTTATCAGCTCACAAGGCGACGTTAATGGAAAGGCAACAGAAACAAGATACAGATTCCAAAGATAGTTCTAAAACGGGATCAGGGCGTTTATCTCGCTGTTCTTCAAATGATATAATGGAATGTTAAGTGCAAGAAAAGCAGTTCCAGATCTGTGACATCAGTTCCACTGCTTTATAACATCTGTCTATTTTAGCTTGTAAGTAACTTGAAATATGACAGTGTGATATGACTGATCACTGTCTGTCATAACTTTTAAACATTTTAAGTAAGTTAATGATATTTCAGTATCTGGATGCTTATTAGTACCTGATGTATAAGTATTGTTCAAATACCCAAGTAGCCGAGCTGCTATGTTTTATTAATTTTTAATATGTGTATCGTGTAAATGTATACTTAGTGCTTTATATGGAAATACTAAAGTTTCCTTTACATGTTACACAAAGCAATAAAATATAATAAATATAGATTTCATAGAGATATAGATACCGTAGAAATGTTATTGAGATGTTATTAATTTAACATTAATAAATACAAATGAATAAATAGATTATGAATAACGATGAAAATTATTTTACTCTTGCATTTCCTTCGCCAAGACAAATGTCTTTCTTATACTCGTACATAGTCAAATGAATGTTAAGTTATTTTATTATGTAATTGGTCGAGTATGAGTAGAATGTATTTTTTCTTCAAAATATTTTTGTGAACCTTTTAATTATCGATTTTTTACAAAATTTGAAGCATAGTATGAAGCTAATGTGTGCGATGCGGTTTTATGTGGATCATGTGGCTGTTTTTATACTTAGGTCAATATTGTAAGTTATTTAATCAAAATTAATTTTTAATTAAGCAAATTAAATTTTAATTAATTTATTTATTATCATAATTGAAGAATCTTTCGAATTTAAAAAACTGTATAGTGTATTTGATAAGTAACCTGTAAGGGTTTAGATTATTTATTTACAGTTGGTATTAAATAATTAGGAAATAAAATATAGAACAAATAATTATCGTATTACAGTTTCTCGTAGTACAATAAAAATTCCATCTTTATCTGTATTTTGTTAAAAATTATAATTTGCAGTGTTCGGAAGCTGAATATGAAACTTTAATTATCCTTAAAAATAAAATTATTAACACTGGAAATATATTGCTTTTGGAACATCTGCACGTTTAGAGGCAGCTGAAAGGCATTTTAAAAAACACCTTTTTTAATTTTTTAATGCGATGATTGAAATGTAACGATTTGTTTTAACGATACTAATTCACTGGCAATTTCATGATTGTGTTCAAATGCATAAAATATTTTTCATATTTAGAAACAAAGCATTTTTTTAATTTCTAATAGATTTTCATATTTAACTTGAAATAATACAAACTATTATTTCAAGGTTTATTTATCGATTGTTCTTTTCCTTTAGATCGAATTAGCGACTTTTGATTTATGCGTACTTATATGTAAGAAAGCTATATTGATTTTAAGTTTTATTAAATAAATTTATAGTTTTCCATTGTTTTTTATTTGAATATTTATTTTTTTTTCGATTTATGAATAATATGCATTAATATATCTCTTTACTATTTCTTCAAATTTAAAAATTCTTCTCGTATTTTTAACTTACTTTTACATCAATTTTTGAACGCGTATTTTGTTTGATTAATATTTTCGAGAAGTTTATTAGGCTATGGATGTGACAAAAGTATTTTACAAGAATTAATAAAGAAAAATATCAACCTATTTCCTTTCAACACAAAATAGAATTCCATTTCATTCAGAATGGGGTTAATTCCTTTCACGCGGACAAAATGATTGTCCCTGTCTCTGTTTGGAAAACAGTTGTGAGAAAATAAATCATATTTTATTGCAGAAAATACCCTAAACCAAGTAAATGATACCGTTCCCGCCTAAACAAATAGATAAACACGAAAACAGTAATTTCAGTCTTCATTTCGATTACAATTATCTGTTGTACGAATATTTTACAATGTAAACCAGGAAAAAGAAGGAGATGGAACGACCCCCCCCCCAAAAAAAAAGAAAACTGTATTATTACTGTACATGTAGTATGTTATTCGAAAGTCAGAAATATGGCTTGTGCGTTTATTTCATTGTCTACAGAGCTCAAGCACGCCCACTTCAATGCACGCTGCGATAAAAATGCTGGCACCGGCACGAACAAAAGAAATAATAGAATGATCGGGGATTTTATTCCCTTGGGGTTAGGCAGTCGTGGGAACGACGTCAGCTTGCTAACGGTCGACCCAGTAGGAGCTGAGGGGATATCGCTTGTACAAAAATGGATTTTGCAGCTCATACCAGTTTCATGCTAGCTATACAATATCCTGTGTAGAGAATTTCATAACGTTTATAAACACACGGTTTACAACTGTCTGTGACTGAATTAATTTCTTTTGTGTGGTTGGCATGTGTTGGTTCACTATGGTACTTCCGTGCTTATAACAAAATATATGTCTTACAAGCCGTCAAAATATACAGATGAGCATAATACAAATATACAATGAATCTTTAAAAAACTGGATTAATGGCAGAAATTCATTGCATAGAAAAGTCAATACTTTGTCTTTTCTGCCATGAACTCTGGTGTAATGTTTCTTACTGTATATTCTAGCACTGCATATTAGAAACGCGTTAAAATACCTATTTATTATGTGCTGTTTCAAAGTGAGAAATTACTCACTGTTTATATTTATAAAAGATTTTAAACAAAACCTTTATGCATTTCTTGTGCATTTTCTATAGATTTTAAATAAAATACAGGGTGTTTATAAAGTCCTGGACCAATTTTGATGTTTAATAACTCATAAAATAATGAAGATATAAGCAAACTTATGTATTTATTACTGGAATAACTTATATATATATATATATATATTTTTCAGGTTTGAATATCTTTACTTTTGTAAATATCGTCTGCGCGTGTGGTTAATTTCAGATAATTTCATTTTACAGTCTAAATATCTATACCTTCTCTAAATATCGTCTGCTTGTTTAATTGCATTTTTCTCTCTTTTTGTTTTTGGAATCTTTCTGACATTGGTAATCGCCATAATGTGCACATATGGGGATCTGAAAACCCTCATGAATACCGTGAGGCACAAAGGGATTCTCCCAAAGGTTAATGTTGTGGTGTGGATTAATGCACGACCGAGTCCATTGGGCCTTTCTTTTTTACAGAAAAGACGGTCGCATCAGTCAGTCGTATGCTTAGACATGTTGAAAAACTTCGTATTTCCACAACTAGAAGGAGCTTCTAGTTGTGGAACTAGAAGAAATTTTATGAGTTTATGTCTTTTTGCAACAAGATGGTGCACCACCTCATTGGGGTACCATCGTTCGTAGTTTTTTGAATGACCATTTTACAGAAAGATGGATTGGGCGAGGAGGTCCAATTCCTTGGCCACCCAGATCACCTGATATAACGCCGCTGGTCATTTTCTTTTGGGGATTTGTAAAGGACAACGTTTAGAGGAGGAGAGTGTCGAACATTGATAACCTAAAAGCCAGAAATACAACCGCAATAGCCTCTGTGGATGTCGACATGCTTGCCGGTACCTGGCATGAAATAAATTGAATATCGACTTGATATTCTCCGTGCGACGAAGGGGGCACACGTGGAAGTTCATTGACAAGGGTCATGAAACTTTTTGAGTCTATCTAACCATTTATGTTATTAATTTTAATCTATCTTTATTATTTTATGAGTTATTAAACATCAAAATGGGTCCCGGACTTTATAAACACTCTGTATTTCTTATGCAAATACTAGATACACCTCTGTAGTAAATTAAAATTGTGTTAAGATAGTTGTTACAGTTTCGAGGGAATCTAGACTAGTAAAATGAGGCCGACCATTGCATATAAAGCTTTTCGTTTAAATTGTGCTTCTGCATGGATTATATTTTAAATGATCGAGTCTGCTTTTAAGTGTTTTTCTATATGGACCATGAATGGAAGGAGGTAAATTGAGCATTTTAGAACTACATGCACCCAAAATGATGAGTTTTATCTTTTGACTTAAACATTAACTCTCTTAAATTATGTATCGACCACCAGTGAAAATGTTTTTGCAACTCAAACCAAGGTTTGCGTCATGTGTTCATGTTTTTATTCTGCAGTGGCTCTGTCGTTTGCTATTATTCTAGTTATGCGGAAGTGGCAGCAATTTGCACGAATGTTATGAAGGTCTGTATGAATAATAATTGTTTTAGAATTCGAATATTTATTCAAAAACTGCCTTTATAGATACTTGTATTAGTGTTCCCCAGGAATTTTTTTCGCTTAACTTTTATTGCGGTTCCACGTCACCGAAATACGGTGAATATGTAATAAAAGCGATGCTGTGTTTACATTAAACATGGTCTTTAAAAGTAATAATTCTTACTATTTGTTCCAAACGAGAGATATACAATTCTTCTCTCCTTTGAGGTAATTGTACGATAGTAATGCTAGTTGAAAAGTTTGAAATATTATTGAAATTTACTATACACAGAGGCTGTTTGCATGTTATTTAGACGATTTTGTTTTGTTGTAAAAAATCGTCTGCTTGGAATTTTTTTTTAACTGCGACTATATTTTTAGAAAGTATAAATTAATCGTCTGCTACTTGATAGTTTTGTTTTTATACAAAATGGCGCTTTTAAAGAAGTAACGGGTGTAGGGCGAAGTTTGCGTTCTTTTCGAAGATAATTATACTTACCTAGTTATTAAAAAACGCTGTAAGAGTTTATGATTTTTCGATATTTAAAGCTACGATTGGTAATATTGTCAACAAGAAAAAAAGTCAAAGTTTGCTTCAAGTGGAAAAATTGTTCGAAATACATATCCAAGGAAAAAAACGGAATGTTTCGAATGCTGCAAAGTTAAGATTTTTAATGTTAACAGAAAATACGGGAAATCAAAGGACAGTTGCAAAATCATTAAAATCCTCACTGTTAGCTGTAAACAAAGTGATTAATTCTGATTTGAACCTCAAAAAGGCGTAAAACATAATGTGTATCGCCTTTCTTCATGACATATCGCCGAACGCAGAATTCTTTATGAGAAAGATTTATACGGACAAAAACGAAAAAATATTGTCACAATAAATGAGTCTTGGGTGTATTTAAATGACTGCAATAAAAAAAGATCCATTTGTTATCATCAAAGAGAAGAAAAAATAAAAACATGGTTCAAAGAATCTAAAGAAATGTTTTCAAAGGAATTCATGATTATTGCTGTTTTTTTTCATATAATGGCAAATTAAAAATAAAGAGAGTGGAGAAAAATGCTAAGATTAACTCCACGTATTATCAAAAACATATTTTATAGCCAATTTTCAAATATGAAATATCTCTCTTTACGCACAGTGCCATCAGTAAGCAAAACTGAATCAAAACAAAGCAAACAGCCACACTTTAAAATGCACTGTTAATTTCCTGGGAAAACAAGAAAGAGCTCTCAAGGCCATAATACCCTTCACTCATATCCTTACTGACGTATAACACATGGATTTTTGCGCTTTTGGACTTTTAAAAAGCGAATTGTCCAAAAGTCAAACTACAAACCCTTCTTGGACTTTAGAAAACTGTTCAAGAGGAACGGGATAAAACACCTCTTCTGATACTACAGAAGGCTTTTTGTCTTAGAAATTACATGTAGGAAGATAGTGAAAAATAACGGTTAGCAAACAGAGAATTTAAAACACACAATGTTTAGGTAAAATATTTCTAAAAATACAACAAAAATCGTCTAAAACGTCTGCGAATAGCCACTGTATTTAGTAAAGTAGACGTCAAAAGCAGAGTAATATTCTCTAAAAAATGAAAATTCATCATATGGATAACAGTAGACACAATTAAATAATTTTTGGAGACTCAAATAATAAATCTGGTATTAGAAAATTCTACAAATATTTTCTAGCCTAATTTTCCATACATTTACAATAGAAAATGTTGTAGTTCTTTACGAATCAATCATAAGCATTTGACACCGAAACACTAAGCAAGCGCAAAAATTTAACAGAATGGCACTGATCGACTGACTCAAATGCAGGATTGCAACAGATGTTGATTTACAGAAAGAGAGTGACAGACCAGTAATTAAACCGGTGAACCAGTTGAAAATTGAAGAGGTTTTGATTTGTAAGAGTGTTATAAAGATTTAACCAGTGGCAATAGAATTCTAAAACATTGAAAGTAAACATTTGCGAAACGCAGTAAAACGAAGTGCTTGTAAGACGAGGCATAACTTTATTGCATAATGCTCAAATAAATTTGTATGCCATTAAATTCCAGCGTATCCATACAGACTTTGCTGCAAGCTCAGTTTTCCCTTTCAAGCTAGACGTTTAATAAACAATTTAATTTTCAATGTATTTAAAGTATCATAATCTAAATCTCCATATAATCTATGAAAAACTTAAGAGCTAGCTATTAGAATGT